TATTAGGTCAAATAGATGAGATGGAACTATAGGGGAAAAAAAAAATGAACAACATATGATTATGAAACAGCTATATTTTTATATATATATATAAAATAATAATATAACTAATTACACAGCTCAGATACTCACAACAACAATGACAACAACAACAAAAAATAAAAACAGAGTCATACTTTAATTCAGTTATGGAACATTCATGAACTTTCTGCAAGATAGTGAATGTATCATTTTTATTACAAACATCAATGGTTTCTAATTAATCTGTAGAGAGAATTACTGTTCCATAACAAAATTCAAACACTGTAGAACAATTATATATCTTACAACTAAAGGAAGGAAGGTATAAAAAGACTTTAAGGTATAGTTTGCTAATTTTTGTTTCTGTTTCACTGGCTGACATGTCTTATACTGATATCTACTGGTGTGGAGGCAGGTTCACACAAATGTTTTTAGTTGCCAATTTAATTTTTAGCTACCAACTAATTAGTGATACTCTACTTGCAGCCAGCCATAATTAAGAGTCCAATAACAGAGATGACTAAGTGCACCTTTAAGGCCAATATTACTTGCACTGATTTATCGGTGAAGTGGATCTGTCCTTCAAGTCTGTAACTTAGTAGAAAGCAAATAAACGATTGTTGGTGTGCCTTTTTGAGAAATAACATAAGATTTGGTTATGAGATTCTACACTATTAAAAATAAAGCTTCCTTATTGGCATTGGCTGTTCTAGCAAGAACCTTAAGCATCCATGGAAACTTTCCATTGCACAAAAGGTTCTTTATAGTGGAATGAGTTTCTTTGGATTATTAAAATGTTTTTTTTACACTAATAAAAAACTGTGGAACAGTGCAACAGCTCTGGCAAGCATCCTGGAGGGTGCATGGGTGTTTGCTTATCCAGTCCTCATATGGTTTGTGGACTTGGAGAAGCCTTATGACTGTGTTCCCTGGGGTGACTTATAGGGGTCATTTTGGGAGTATGGGCTACCAGGGCCACTGATGCATGCCATCTGGTCTCTATACAACCAGTGTGAAAGCTGTGTTTGTATTCTTGGCAATAAGTCAAGTTTGTTCCCAGTGAGTACTGGATTCCGCTAGGACTGTCCCTTCATGGACAAGATCTCAAGGTGCAGCCGGGGGAAGGAAAGTGTCCAGAGAAACCACTCCACGTTGAATGGAGCTAATTGAAGTGGTTTGGGCATCTGGTCAGGATGCCTCCTGGAGCTTCTGGGGGAGGTGTTCTGGGTATGTCCAATTGGGAAGAGACCCCGTGGGCAAATCCAGGATTTGCTGGAGAGATTATATCTCTCAGCTGGCCTGGGAATGCCTTGGGATCCCCCGGGCAGAGTTGGAGGAAGTTGCTGGGGAAAAGGAGATATGGGCAGCCTTACTTCGCCTACTCCCACTGTAACCCGGTCCCAGATAAGTGGAGAACGGATGGATGGACTAAGAAAAAAAGCTATTTTAAGAACTGTTCAATGAAAGGTTCTTTTGAGAACGGATAATTGTTCTGCGATGGCATCACTGCGAAAACCCCTTTAAAGATGATTCTCAACTATATTATGAAAGATATAACAGTATGATTTGATATACCATTTTGCTTTATGCAGTATGTGTGTAAAATGGCCATAAATGGGGTTTCCCACTGTATGCAATGTATCTATATATACTGTATATAATTTGCATATTAATGTGTTCTTGAGGCAACATGTAATGAATAATGAAGCTTGACAAGAATACCTCTAAAATAACTGATTAATAAGATGGAATCAGGTCTGTAGAAAACAAATATTGGAGCAGGTTTCCTTCAGTTCAGGAATGGTTGATGCAATGGCCTAGCAGCATCAACACTGAGCCGCAATGCTGACTCAAGTTCGATTCCAGCTTGCAACATTATATATATATATATATATATATATATATATATATGTGT